CTCACTCACACACACGTGTATAACTGGATTATTGTGGATTGCAGCTGGAGAACTGTAACTACGCAGTGGAGCTGGGGAAGAAGGAGGCCAAGTTCTCTCTGGTGGGAATCGCTGGTCAGGATCTGAACGAAGGCAATCGGAAACTGACGCTCGCTCTGCTCTGGCAGCTCATGAGGAGGTCAGACACGCAAACACGTGATCATACGCTTCAGATCCGCACAAACACAGTCACTCACGATCATCCGCTTGAGATCCACACGCCTGCTGAAGGTCTCGCTCATCTTCTGTCTGCAGATACACACTCAACATCCTGGAGGATCTGGGCGACGGGCAGAAGGTCAACGACGACACCATCGTGATCTGGGTTAACGACGCACTCACACAGGCCGGCAAAGGCACCATCAGCGGCTTTAAAGTAAGCAGCTCACGCTCACTGTGAAGAAAAACACATGTTCCGTCCGTATCAGAACTTACCTCTTCGGTTATGATTCTGCAGGACGGATCCATAAGCAGCAGCATGCCGGTCCTGGACCTGATTGACGCCATCCAGCCCGGCTCCATCCGCTACGACCTTCTCAAGACAGAAGACCTGACAGACGAAGAGAAACTCAATAATGCCAAGTACGTCACAGTCACACTCCTCATTAGCATATTAATGAATATTAAACAGATGTTCTGGGTTTGATATGAGTTCAGCGCTGTGGTGTAATGTGACGCATGGAAAAATATTTCTCTTAAAAGTCTACAATTTTCTTCAAAGTCAGAATTGCGAGAAAAATGTAAGATTGTGAAAAATAAACTCAGAATTGCGAGACAAATCAGAATTGCAAGATATAAACTCAGTATTACAAGAAGGTCAGAATTGCGAGATATAAACCCAGAATTGCAAGAAAAAGTCAGAATTGCGAGAAAGTGATAATTGTGAGACAAACTTAGTATTACGAGAAAGTCAGAATTGCAAGATATAAACTTAGTATTACGAGAAAGTCAGTATTGCGAGATATAAACCCAGAATTATGAGAAAGTCAGAATTGAGATATAAACTCAGTATTGCGAGAAAAATCAGAATTGCGAGATACAAACTCAGAATTATGAGAAAGTCAGAATTGAGATATAAACTCAGAACTGCGAGAAAGTGATAATTGTGAGACAAACTCAGAATTATGAGAAAGTCAGAATTGAGATATAAACTCAGAACTGCGAGAAAGTGATAATTGTGAGACAAACTCAGAATTATGAGAAAGTCAGAATTGAACATCTACTGAACCCAGAACGGTTCAAACTCGGCTGAAAATCAAACGGCATGTCAAACTCACCGATGTGTTCTCAGGTACGCGATCTCTATGGCGAGGAAGATCGGAGCGCGAGTGTATGCGCTGCCGGAGGATCTGGTGGAGGTCAAGCCCAAGATGGTGATGACGGTGTTCGCCTGCCTCATGGCTCGAGGAATGAGACGAATCTAGAAGCGCAGGATTATACGCCTGCTTTTATATTTCCTTTGTCTTTTATAGTTGTTGCTCAGTTACTGGGTTCCCACCATCATGCATTTATCATGAAAACTTCTCAGGGGAATATGAACTAACCGTTCTTGACACTCAGAAGAATAATCGATTCAATCTATCTGCTGTCTTCATTAACCTCTAGATAATCAGGCTTAACCGGTGTACAAAAAAGGTCAAAGGTCGCGTCTGTTTGTGTCTATGAGCACGGTGTGCGTGAATATAAAGTCAGGCCAGTTGTGCTCTTTTGAATGTTCAGGTACTTCAGCCTATAAACGGCAGTAAACACACGTTCCGTCTCTGAATCCGATGTACGTTTAAATGTCACTGGAAATCAATGTGCAAATAAAAAACATTTTTTAACTCGAGTGTTTGTGCTTGTTTCATACTACTGACATGCTATTAGGTAGCACGCTTCCTCCAGTGAAAAAGCTCATCTGCTGTTGTCTCTCGCATCAAAATCCAGCCACATATGTGTTTAGAGCTGTTTAAACGCTGGTTGTTATTATGGATTATGGACTCTATGTATTTGAGTTAAAAACGTCTTAATGCTGGATTAGTTTCATCTTTTGTCTTCCCCAGATGTTAACTGATGGACTGGAGTGCTGTGGATTACTTGTGGATTATTGTGATGTTTTTATCAGCTGTTTGGACTCTCATTCTGACGGCACCCATTCACTTGCAGTGAGACACTGATGCAATGCTACATTTTTCCAAATCTGACGATCAATGTGACTAACACAAGACGATACAAACATTGACATAATGACTTTCCGTAAAACCGAGCCGCATAAATCCACTTCAAATCCGTCACAAATGCATTCTCTAAATCTGCTGAAGCGGAGGAGTTTACAGACACACAAACTGAAGCGCGTCGTCTGGGAACGTGTACGCAACCATCACTTTAATGGACAAAAAATACAGGTGTTTGGGATCAAAACAGGTCACGATAGTGGAGCACATGTTGTAAAGATAGGAAGAGAAAACAGATGGAGTTCGTACGCCGTTCAGTCTGTGAGCTGAAAGGCTGCACTCATGTGCTTTAATAGAGGAGAGACTCAGCTTTAGTCCTTGAGTTCATTTGGCCGTCTTGCCCTCGGCTGGCATCTCTCCGTTATCCAGAGTCTTGAGGAGGCGGAAGAGACCGGCGGCCTCACGGATTCGACTGAACTCGATGCAGAAGGCCTGCACCTCGATGAACAGATCCTGAACATTAATGATCTTATTCCTGATGAGGGACTGGAGGAAGACGCACACCAGACGCACCAGACGGTTCTTCAGGAGACACAACAGACAACTGCTTTCCATCACACAATAACACACTTCCCTCGGTTCTACAATCCGTGTCATGTTGCTACAACTGCTGTAATATTGTATCTATGTGATGTAGCAGCTCACATAAATCAATGAGCACCGAATCAGACCAGTTAATATAAGAACGGTCACTTACACTCATTTAGAAAATATTATTTGCACAATAATAGCAGTGCTGTTGAAATCATCATCAACTCGGTCCTGCATCAAATCAATACAAGTTTCTCACTGATTTAGGGTGCTGCTGATTGCAAAAATAGTGTCTGTTTTACCGTTTCACGTCACTTTCTCACTAAATAGGATGCATTTCATAGCATTTGTGTGATGAAGTGCATTAAAGTTTAATTTGAAAAATCATTTTATTTTGTGAAAAACTGATCAGATGAGGTAAAATACGACCTTTTTTGCAAATCAGCATAATGAAAATATTACCTGCATGTACTTGTCTTTGATCTGCTCACAGGTGGAGATGCAGTTGGAGATGTAGAGATGGATGAACTCAGGAGGAAGATCCACCGCTGTGGTTAATCTGCAGCCCAACAATCAAACACACGGAATGAAGCGGAGCTCAGGGCACTGATTCACCTCCTGTTTATCGCTCCATCCGCTCTGACAGAAACCAGACGAGAGAGCCGTACCTGTTGACCACCTCCATGGAGTGCAGCGACATGTCCATGTTGACCAGGACAGAGAAATACTCCGTGATCTGGCTGGAGGACATCAGCTTCAGGAGCATCTCGATGGCCACCAGAGGGTTGTTCTCAACCAGGTCCGGTAGTTTGGCTGGAGTCAGACTGATGTGATAAACCAGCTTTGGGTCCTTCTCCAGTTCACCAAGCAGCTGAGGAACCAAAGAACATTTGATAAACTAAGTCTTTATACACTGTTGCACTGCCTTATTAAAAATTACATATATATTAAGGGAATTCATATTTATTGAAGAGTACAAAATGTACACTACCATTCAAAAGTTAGGGGCGTGTATTTTTTTTTTTTTATGTTTTTGCATTTATTTAGGCATACAGGCTGCATTTATTTGATCAAAAATACTGTAAAATTGAGAAATATTATTATAATTTAGAACAGCTGTTTTCTATGTGAATATGTATTAAACTGTAATTTATTTCTGTGATGCGCAGCTGTATTTTCAGCATCATTACTCCAGTCTTCAGTGTCACATGATCTTCAGAAATCATTCTAATATGCTGATTTGCTGCTCGAGAAACATTTCTGATTATAAAACGGAGAGTTCCGGTGCTTGATTCTGATTGGCTGAGCTGCGTTCGAAGCTGTTGTAAATGACTCTACAAAGTAACATACACCTTTGTTTACGTTTGTGTGTTGCTCGGCAACCACTTTGTAGCAACCACAACTGTTTCTGAGGAGCTACATTGTTTGGTGGAAGAATACTGTTTTTATTAATATCATTACACTTTATTTGCTCTGTTTTATTTTGTGAAACCTTACTACGTATATGGAATAACCGTTTTATAAAAGCAGTAAGCCCCGTGAAGCCGTGGTTTACAGTGAATTTATAACAGCTAAGGGAGGTTTTAGGCACTCCGCTTCGCCCCTTAGCTGTTATAAATTCTTATTGCTTTATTATCATCAATGTTGAAAACGGTTGTGCTGCACAATATCTGTGTAGAAAAAAAACGTGATACATTTTATTTTTCAGGATTCACAGACGAGATGAAACCAGACGTTTAGCTGCAGTTAGCACACAGCAGAAACACGAGCATGTCACACTCACTCTCCAGAGCAGGCCGCGGGCCGGACACCAGAGACTCTGTGATCTGATTGGCCACGGAGCTGTCGAAGCCAGAGTTGGAGGAGTCTGGGTCGGGGTCGCTGAGCAGGCTGGGAAAACTGGCCTTGCTCTGAGTGGGCAGCTCCGACTGACGCTCTGAACCAAAGACACAAACCAGCACATCATTACATCTCTCTGGAACACCGGAAAAAGCACAGGATTGGATTTTCAGCCAATTATAATCCGATATAGTGGAGATCTGAGATGGATATACCTGTAAATATCAGATACGAGTCGTGCCTTACAATACCAGTCAAAAGTTTGGAATATTTTTTTTTAAATGTCTCTGAAAGAAGTCTCTTCTGCTCAGCAAGGCTGCATTTATTTGATCAAAAATACTGTAAAAAATTGAAATATTATTGTAATTTAGAACAGCTGTTTTCTATGTGAATATGTGTTAAATTGTAATGTATTTCTGTGATGTGCAGCTGTATTTTCAGCATCATTACTCCAGTCTTCAGTGTCACATGATCTTCAGAAATCATTCTAATATGCTGATTTGATGATACAGTTGTGATTAGTATCAATGTTGAAAACAGAAACCGTGATGCATTTTATTTTTCAGGATTCACAGATGAATAGAAAGTTCAAAAGAGCAGCGTTTATTTGAAACCGAAATCTTATGATATCGTCTTCACTGTCACTTTTGATCAGTTTAATGCGTTCTTGGTGAATAAAAGTGTTAATTACTTTCAAAAAGTTTGAACTATAGTGTACATTTTGCTTAAAGAAAGTTAAGCTTGTTTATTCCCAATGAAAATACTCATTACTGTAATATATATATATATATATATATGCAATTTTTAATAAGCATAAATTAAAGCCAACAACAAGCGCCAACATGATATATAATATGTATAATATGATGTTTGTAATATTATAAATGTCTTAACTGCCACATCTGATCAATTTAATGCCTCCTTGTTGAAGAAAAACAATAATTTTAGTTTTTTTAATCTGACTTACTAACTTCTGAATAATATTGTGCAGCACGACTGTTTTCAACATTGATAATAATCAGAAATGTTTCATTTAATCAGCATATTAGAATGATTTCTGAAGATCATGTGACACTGAAGACTGAAAATACAGCTGCGCATCACAGGAATAAATTACAGTTTAACACATTCACATAGAAAACAGCTGTTTTACATTATAATAATATTTCACATTTTTACAGTATTTTTGATCAAATAAACGCAGCCTGGCTGAGCAGAAGAGACAGTTTTGATCAGTGTGTGGCGTGTTGTACCGGCGAGCGCCAGCTGCAGTCCGCTGATGTCTATGGTCTGCGGTGTGGAGCTCATGTCCATGCTGGACACTTGTCTCGGCGTCTTCTTGAAGAGCTCTCGCGGCGGAGCCAGCATCAGCTGAGACAGGAAGTACTTCTCCGGCAGCGTGATGGGGGGCAGGAAACCTGCAGGGAAGCGTTACAAACACTACAGCAGAGACTCACTCGAGCGACGACGCAAGAGAAACACAGCACACCTGAGAGCGTCTCCTGCTCGTCTGCCGCGG